CACATGGAATATTCTCCAGAATAGAGCACATATTAGGCCATAAAGCAAGCCTTAACAAAATCCAAAGCATCAAAATATTACAAAGCATCTTTTCTGACCATAAAGCCATAAAAGTAGAAATCAGTAATGGAAAAAAGCAAGGAAAAAAAATGAAACACATGGAAACTGAAGAACATCTTGCTCAAAAATACTGGGTTATAGAAGAAATTAAGGATGGAATAAAGAAATTCACAGAATCAAATGAGAATGAAAACACATCCTACCAGAAGCTTTGGAAGACAGCAAAAGCAGTGCTCAGAGGTCAGTTTATAACAATAAATGCACACATCCAAAAAGAAGAAAGGGCCATAATCAAAACATTATCCCCACGACTGGAACAAGTAGAAAGAGAGCAGCAAAAGAAGCCCTCAGGCGCCAGAAGAAAGGAAATAATAAGAAATAGAGCAGAATTAAATGAAATAAAGAACAGAAAAACAACTGAAAGAGTTGACAAAATCAAAAGCTGGTTCTCTGAAAAGATCAACAAAATTGATAAACCATTGGCCAAACTGACAAAAGAAAAACAGGAGAGGAAGCAAATGACTCAGATCAGAAATGATATGGGCAACATCACAACAGACCCAACTGAAATTAAAAGAATCATAACAGAATACTATGAAAAATTCTACTCTAACAAATTTAAAAACCTGGAGGAAATGGACAAGTTTCTAGAAACTCACTGTCTCCCTAAAGTAACACAGAGGTAGAGCAACTAAAACTCATAAGAAAGGAAGAGATTTTAAAGGTAATTATAAAATTCTCAACAACAAAAAAAAAACCCTGGCCTGGATGGCATCATTGGAGAATTCTACCAAACTTTCAGAGAAGGGTTAACACCATTACTTCTAAAGGTGTTTCAGAGCGTAGAAGCGGATGGAATACACCCAAACTCGTCCTATGAAGCCAGCACAACCCTGATACCAAAACCAGGTAAAGACACTACAAAAAAAGAAAATTGCGGACCATTATCCTTCATGAACATTGACAGAAAAATTGTCAACAAAATTCTAGCCAATAAAATTCAGCAACATACCAAAACAATAATTCATCATGATCAAGTGGGACTTATACCAGGTATGCATGGATGGTTCAACATTAGAAAGGCAATCAGTATAATCCATGACATTAATAAAACAAAAGACAAGAACCACATGATCTTATCAATCGATACAGAAAAGGCATTTGACAAAGTCCAACAGCCATTCATGGTAAAAACTCCCAGGAACATAGGAATAGAAGGGAAATTCCTCAACATAATAATAATTAATGTCATTTATACAAAGCCAACAGCCAACATCATCCTAAATGGAGAGACTTTGAAAGCATTCCTTGAGAATGGGAACCAGACAAGATTGCCATTTATCACCACTCTTATTCAGCATTGTGCTGGAGGTCCTAGCCAGAGCATGTAGGCTAGAAAAGGAAATAAATGGCATCCAAGTTGGTAGGGAATAAGTCAAAGTATCTCTATTTGCAGATGATATGATCTTATACACAGAAAACCCCAAAGAATCTACAAGAAAACTACTGGAACCAGTAGATTTCAGCAAAACATCAGGATGCAAGATAAACATTACACCAACCAAGAGAACTTCGAAGAAGAAACCACCGAAGCAATACCACTTACAGTAGCCCCCAAGAAGATAAAATACTTAGGAAGAAATCTAACCAGAGAAGGAAAAGTCCTATACAATGAAAACTGCAAGACACTACTGCAAGAAACCAAAATACCCCTACATAAGTGGAAAAGCATACCTTGCTCATGGATAGGAAGACTCAACATTGTGAAAATGTCAAATCTACCCAAAGCAACGTACAGATACAATGCAATCCCCATCCAAATTCCAACTGCAGTTTTTAATGAGATGGAGAAACAAATCACCAATTTCATATGGAAAGGAAAGAGGCCCCAGGTAGGTAAAGCATTATTCAAGAGGAACAACAAGATGGGAGGCCTCACACTACCTGATTTTAGAACCTATTATACCACCGCGGTAGTCAGAACAGCCTGGTACTGGTACAACAACAGATATATAGACCAATGGAACAGAATTGAGAATCCAGATGTAAATTCATCCACCTATGAGCAGCTGATATTTGACAAAGGCCCAAAGTCTGTTAATTGGGGAAAAGACAGTCTCTTTAACAAATGGTGCTGGCATAACTGGATATCCATCTACAAAACACTGATACAAGACCCATACCTCACACCATGCACAAAACAAACTCAAAATGGATCAAAGACCTCAATATGAAATTGAAAATGATAAAGATCATGGAAGAAAAAATAGGGACAATGCTAGGAGCCCAAATACATGGCATAAACAGAATACAAACCATAAGTAACAATGCACAAGCACCAGAAGAGAGACTAGATAACTGGGAGCTCCTAAAAATCAAGCACTTATGCTCATCAAAAGACTTCACCAAAAGACTTAAAAGACAGCTTAAAGACTGGGAAACAATTTTTGACTACAACAAATCCGATCAGTGTCTAATCTCTAAAATCTACAAGATAGTGCAAAACCTCAACAACAAAGAGGCGAATAACCCAGTTAAAAAATGGGCAAAGGATATGAACAGGCACTTCACCAAAGAACACATTCAGGTGGCTAACAGACACATGAGGAAATGCTCACAATCATTAGCCATTAGACAAATGCAAATCAAAACTACAATGAGATACCATCTCACCCTAACAAGGATACCATAAATCCAAAAAACACAAAATAATAAATGCTGGAGAGATTGTGGAGAGACTGGAACCACTTGTACACTGTTGGTGGAAATGTAAAATGTTACAACCACTTTGGAAATTGATTTGGCACTTCCTTAAAAAGCTAGAAATAGGAGTACCATACGATCCAGCAATCCTACTCCTTGGAATATATCCTAGAGAGATAATAGCTGTGACACGAATAGATATATGCACACCCATGTTCATTGCAGCACTGTTCACGATAGCAAAAAGATGGAAACAACCTAGGAGCCTATCAATGGACAAATGGATAAACAAATTATGGTGTATCCACACAGTGGAGTACTACGCAGCAATAAAGAGCAACAATGAAGCCGTGAAACGTTTTATAACATGGAGCAATCTGGAGGGCATTATGCTGAGTGAATTTAGTCAGTCACAGAACAACAAATATTATATAAGACCACTATTATCAGAATTCAAGAAAAGGTTTAAACACAGAAGAAAACATTCTTTGATGGTTACAAGGATAGTGATGGAGGGTGAGGGTTATTTACTAACTAGAAAGTAGAGAAGAGTTATCTTAGGTGAAGGGAAGGACAGCACACATTACAGGGGAAGTGAGTACAACTGGACTAAACCAAAGCTAAGAAATTTCCTAAATACAATCAAACACTTTGAGGGACAGAGTAGCAGAGGTGGGGTTCTGGGGACCATGCTTTCAGGGAACATCTAGCTCAACTGGCATAACAAAGTTTATTAAGAAACTGTTCGGCATCCCACTTTGGTGAGTGTCATCTGGGGTCTTAAAAGCTAGCGAGTGGCCATCTAAGATGCATCAGTTGGTCCCAACCACCTGGAGTAAAGGAGAATGAAGAACACCAAAGACACAAGGAAAGTATTCTCCCAAGAGACAGAAAGGGCCTTATAGACCAGAGACTTCATCAGCCTGAGACCAGAAGAACTGGATGGTGCCTGGCTACCACCAATGACCTGGCTACCGCCCTGACAAGGGAGTACAACACAGAGTGTTGATGGAGTGGGGGAAGGGTGGGATGCAGAACTCAAGTTCTAGTAAAAAGACCAGACTTAATGGTCTGACTGAGACAGGACGAACTCTAGAAAGCACGACCTCTGGTCTCTCTGTCAACAGAACTGAAAGAATTCCCAAGGCCAACTATTCAGACAAAGATTGGACTGGACTGTGGGACATAAAATGATACTCGTTAAGAGTGTGCTTCTTAACTCAAGTAGATACATGAGACTGTATGGGCAGCTCCTGTCTGGAGGTGAGATGAGAAGACAGGGTTTGGAGCTGGTTGAATGGAACGGGAAATCAAGGATGGAAAGGACGAGTGTGCTGTCACGGTATAGGGAGAGCAGTTAGGGTCACATAACAATGTATGTATAAATTTTTGTATGAGAGACTAACTTGAATTGTAAACTTACACTTAAACTACTGCAATAAAAAAAAATCATAGCAATTTAACAGTCAAATGATAAAATTAATGAAAACATAAAAGTTCTTTTTATTGAATAGAGTAATGACAATTATCCTAAGTATCAAACTTTCATTAAAGGTGGAAGAGGAAAGGAAGAAGTTCAAAAGTAGTGAATTGGAAGTAACAGAAAATACGTATGATCCTGCTATTGACAATGGTGCTAATGGATTCATTAAACAAGGAAAGAGCGGAAAAAGTGATAATCAGCAATTTTGTATTAAAGAGAATGATGATTCTGATAGGTAAGCCTATAGAGATATTTTTCCTATAAAACTAATTCTAACTTGGGTTAATATTTATGGTAAATAAATTTTATAGGTTTACTGGTAGATGTTCAGTGAAATGGAAAATAACATAACAATGAAATGTTTTTTGTAATCATATTTTATTAAAATAATAATAAATTATTAATAACTTCACATTGGCAAATGTGAGGAAAAAGGCATTCTCGTATACCATTGGCATATGACATTGGTAAATCCTTTTTGGCAGATAATTTAGTAGTAAATCAAAAATTTAAGTGTGTCATTTTTTTTAAGCCAGCGGCTTTACTTCTAGGACTAGATCCTACAGAAGAATATGCACTTGTATAAACATGTATTTGTATAAACACACATATGCATATATGTTAGGGATATTTATTATATATACAGTACATAAGGAGCCCTGGTGGCGCAGAGGTTAAGCACTGGCTGCTAACTGAAAGACTGGCAGTTCAAATCCACCAGGTGCTCTTTGGAAACTCTATGGGGCAGTTCTACTCTGTTCTGTAGGGTCGCTATGAGTTGGAATCTACTCAGTGGCAACCGATTTTTAATTACGTTCACAGTGTTGGGTAACCATCATCAATATTCGCTTCTAAAAACTTTTTCATCACCCCAAACAGAAACTCTTTCCATTCTGTACTAACTCTCCCTTTCCTTCCTCCCCTCAGCCCGTGGTAACTGCTAATCTACTTTCTATCTCTATCCATTTGCCTATTCTAAGTAGTTGATAAAGTGGGATCATACAGTGTTTATCCTTTTGTGTCTGGTGTATTTCACTCAGCATAATATTTTCAAGGTTCATTTCATATCATGTATTAGAAACTTATTCCTTCTGATCACTGAATAATATTCCATTGTATGGACATAACACATTTTGTTTACTCATTCACCTGTTGGTGGGCTTTTAGTTTGTGTCCACCTTTTGGCAATTGTGAATAACGCTGCAGTGAACATTGGTGTACAAGCATCTGAGTCTCTGCTTTCAGTGGAATTACCGAATGCTATAATAATTCTATGTTTAATATTCTGAGGAACCACCAAACTCTTTTCTACAGTGACTGTACTATTTTACATTCCCACTAGCAATGCACACAGTTTTGTTTCTCCACATCCTCATCAACACTTGTTATTTTCCATTTTTCTGATAATAGCCATCCTGGTAGGTGGTATCTCATTGTGGTGTTGATATGCATTTCTCTGATAACTAATGACTTTGAGCATCTTTTTATGTGCTTATTGGCCTTTTGTATATATTCTTTGGAGAAATGTCTGTATAGGTCCTTTGCCCATTTTTTGACTGGTTTTTGTGTTGTTGAGTTGTGGGAGTTCTTTATATCTTCTGGATATTAAACCTTTATCTCATATATGGTTTACAGATATTTTCACTGTACAGTTTGTGTTTTTACTTTTTTGATGATTTCCTTTGATATACCAATATTTTATTTTGATGAAATCCAAAGTATCTATTTTACGTTTCTGCTCGTGGTTTTGGTGTCATAGCTAAGAGTCAATTGTGAAATATAAGGCTCTGAAGCTTTACCCCAATGTTCTAAGAATTTTCTGGTTTTAGTTATTACATTTAGGTCATTGACTGTTTTTAGTTAATTTTCATATATAGTGTGAAGTAGGGGTCTAACTTCCTTCTTCTCTACCTGTGGAGATCCAGTTGTCCTGGCACCATTCGTTGAATAGACTACTGTTTTTATTTTCTATTGTACTTTAGATGAAGGTTTACGGAGCAAACTAGCTTCTCACTAAATAATTAATATACATATTGTTTTGTGACATTAGCTGCCAACCCCATGATATGTCAACACTCTCCCCTTCTTGGGTTCCCCATTCCCAGCTTTCCTGTCCCCTCCCACCTTCTAGTCCTTGCCCCTGGGCTGGTGTGTCCATTTAGTCTCATTTTGTTTCATGGGCCTGTCTTATCTTTGGCAGAAGGGTGAGCCTCAGGAGTGACTTCAACACTGAGCCAAAAGGGTGTCCTGGGCCATACTCCCAGGGTTTCTCCAGTCTCCGTCAGACCAGTAAGTCTGGTCTTTTGCTTTTTCTTTTTTTTTGGTGAGTTAGAATTTTTTTTCTACATTTTTCTTCAGCTCTGTCTGGGACCCTCTATTGTCATCCCTGTCAGAGAAGTCGGTGGTGGTAGCCGGGCACCATCTAGCTGTACTGGGCTCAGTCTGGTGGAGGCTGTGGTAGTTGTGGTCCGTTAGTCCTTTGGACTAATCTTTCCCTTGTGTCTTTGATTTTCTTCATTCTCCCTTGCTCCAGATGGGGTGAGACTAGTGGAGTATCTTAGATGGCCTCTCACAAGCTTTTAAGACCCCAGATGCTACTCACCAAAGTGGAATGTAGAACATTTTCTTTATAAATTATGTTATGCCAGTTGAGCTAGATGTTGTCCGAGACCATAATCCCCACAGCCCACAGCCCAGTTATTTGGTCCCTCAAGGAGTGTGGATGTGTCTATGGAGCTTCCATGACCTTGCCTTGACAAGTTGTGCTGGCTTCCCCAGTATTGTGTACTGGAAAAGACTATTCTTTCATCATTGAATGTATCTGGCATCCTTGTTGAAAATTAATTGGCCATGGCTGTGTGGGTTTATTTCTGGACCTTCTATTTTATTTGCTATATGTGTGTCTTTGTACTCGTCCCACACTATTTTGAACACCATATCTCTATAGTGGAGTCTTGGGATGGTGCAGAAGGTTAATGCACTTGGCTGCTAACTGAAAGGTTTGAGGCACCTCAGAAGGAAGGCCTGGCAATCTACTTCTAAAAAATCAGCCATTGAAAACCCGATGGTGGAGCACATTTGTACTCTGAGACACATGGGGTCACCATAGGGCCAACTCAGCAGCAGCTGGACGTGGTGGAGATTTATAGTACATTTTGAAATCAGGAGGTGTTAGTCCTACTTTTTTTTGTTTTTCAAGATTATTTTGACTATACGGGACTCCTTGAAATTCCTTTTAAATATAAGGATCAAGTTTTACATTTCTGCAAAAAAGTCTGTTGGAATTTTGATAGGCATTGTGCTGATTGGTTTGGGTAATATCGGCATCTTAACAATTATTAAGTCTTCCAATCCCTGAATACGGGATATCGTTTTCATTTATTTTGGTTTCCTTTAATTTCTTTCAGCAGTGTTTTATAGGTTTCAGTGTATAAGTCTTTTACCTCCTTAGCTAAATTTATACCTAGATATTTTATTCTTTTAGATGCTATTGTAAATGGAATTGTTTTCTTAATTTCCTTTTCATACTATTCATTGCTGATGTATAGAAACACAACTGATTTTTGCAAGTTTCAAACTTACAACTTTGCTGAATTAATTTATTAGCACTGGTAGCTTTCTTGTAGAATCTTTGGGCTTTTCTCTACATAGGGTCATATTATCTGTAAATAGAGATAGTTTTACTTCTGTTTGATTTGGATTTTTTTTCTGTCATTTTCTTGCCTAATTATTCTGGTTAGGACTTTCAGTACAATGTTGAATAGCAGTAGTGAAATCGGAAAGTGGTGATCTTAGGGGAAACTTTTAGTCGTTCACCATTGAGTATGGTGTTTGCTGTGGCTTTATTCTTTTCCTAGTATTTATGATAGTTTTAATTATGGTAAAATGCATCAAAGGAACAGCAAACCTCATGTGTTATTTTATTAAGAAAAATAAAATACCAAAAAACCAAACCAAACCAAACCTGTCGCCGTCGAGTCGATTCTGACTCATAGCAGCCCTGTAGGACAGAGTAGAACTGCCCCATAGTGTTTCTAAGGAGTGCCTGATGGATTCGAACTGCCGACCTTTTGGTTAGCAGTCATAGCTCTTAAGCATTACAGCACCAGGGTTTCCAAATAAAATACAATGGTGGTAAATTATTACAGAACTTGCCATAATTTTTGCCAAAGGATAATAAGCCTTCAATATCTGAAATAAACAAGGTTGGAACTTATTGAGTACTGTAGTAAGAGAGAACAATGCTAGTCAGGAACAGTCTCTTCTAACAGAGTAGACAGCTGATCTTATGTGGGGTTTTGGGAAGAGTGGAGTTCAAGGATTGGCAGATTTTCAGAGGCATAAGTAGGTTGACATCCCGTGTAACGGCATGGTTATTCGTGGTTATTCAGATGAATCTGTTATTGATTGGTTGGGACTCTAAGCCATGTTTATTGGAGTGAGTTTGTCCCTGATTATCTGTCTTCCAGAGTCAAGGGGCTGACATTGATTGGTTGGTGAGTGAGGCAGTGGTTGCTGATTGACTGAACAGATTTAAAGCTGGTTCTGGTGGCTCATTGTTACCACGACTATAGAAGAGTTGGTCTTTTCCTAAATTTGAGATGACTTTAATTCTCATAACCAGATGTTTTCTGGTTAAAATTCTTCCATCAACTATGTTCAAAATAAAAGCTATCTCTTAGTCTAAACTTGTGGACTTATTTTGGGTCAAGAGGAACTGTTTCAAGATTTCTCTCAGAAGATCCCTTCCTGTTTTAGATGCTTAGTCTTAAACTAGTAGAATTGTCTACATAACTTCTTTTTGTGATTGTTGGATTTTTTTGCCTTTCTTTTTTTGGTATTCTTAGGGGCTTATGTTCAACTCCTAAAATGTTAATTTCCAGTGAGAATTTTCAGTTTCTTTGTAAATTTATGTAGGTATATGATAATAATATTCTTATGCATGTATTTAGCCAATAAAAAAGTGATTGCAATTTTCTATTGATAAATCCAGCATTTTATATTAGGTTTAGATACTAAGCTAAAAGTTCAGAAAAGTTACTGACTCATTTTATTTTCAAACAAAATCATAACTGATCAGGTATTGCTGTTTTAATCTATATGACATATAGTTATTTTTAAACTAAGGTATTTTTCCCCCAAGATATTTCCCTGATTCTTTCTTTCATGTTTCATGTGGCTCATCCTATTTTAAAAACGTCATTTAGATTGAGCATTATCATATTTAAAAATCAAAACCAAAAATACAGCAGAAATCTAATCATTACTTTTCTGAGTCCATTGCTTTTAGGCAGTGAGCTCCCAAGTCTTAGTGTAGCCATCAGAATCTTTCACGATTTCTTTCCTGACTCACCTCTTACTACTTGCTTCCATGTGTTTTACACTTTTCCTGTCAAATTTCTGGAAACACCATAGACATCATGTGCCCAATGTTTGTGCTCACATCCTGATCCCTCAGTAGAATGGTTTTCTCCCACTGCTTTGCGTGGTGAGCTCCTCTGTTCCATTTTACCTCTTCTATAAAGCCTTCCTTGTGTTCAAATGTAAGTTCTCATATACCAGCTCTTACCACATTGTATCATTATTGTATATTTACCTGTCTTTTGGAGCAGAGAATGGGTATTTCTTTGTATATAGTTGGTACTTCATAACTGTTTTTTGCATTAATGAATGAATGAAGATGGGGAAGAGTTGGAATTTTACAAAAAAAAAATTTTATTCTTTGTAAGTAGAATTATTAGAAAACATTGGCTTTTTTATGGATTTTTTAAAGTAGTGATCCTGCCTTGCATATGAAGAAAGTAAAGAAATATGACAGTAAAAAATGGACCTCAGAAGAATCTGCGATTACATCAGTGTTGCAGAAGGCTAATTCACTAACTGGTGTTCTGCAAGTGAATGATGACAGCAGTTTGAGTGAAATAGATCAGGATGAAGGAAGGTAAACGATATAAATTCTTTATTTCCCTGTGAAGGGATCTTAGTAGGGATTACTTTTTCTGGAAATAAAACAGGAAAATGTAGTGTCCAGGCCAAGGCAAGAAAATACCAAAATATTTCAAATGCTGCTGAAGGGTTCATTAAGAGGAGAACAAGTAACTTTGACAGGGAGCATGTTCAGTAAATGGTGGTTATGGAAGCCAGCTGCAGTGGATAATTGTCGACATTTTTGCTAAAAAAGAATAGAGAATTGGGATAAGTGAAGAAGAAGGCAGGGTTTAAAAGCTTTCTTTTTTAAGATGGGAGATTTTAGAATATGTTCATGTGCTGATGAAAGTGATCCAGTAGAGGACATATTTATTAAATATAATTTTGTTTGTATTTTTGAAAGCCTGCTGATTCTATTGCATTATCTTGTAAAGATTTACCGTAACAGTCCTTACTATTTCTATTCATGTATAGCTGTGTTTTTTTTTTAATGCTTACAATTTTTTTTAACTCTGCCCCGTTTTTATTTTTTTTCATTCTACATATATAGTTTTTTGGTAAGAGGTTGTTCATTCAGAATGGTTCAGAATAGAATATTCTCATATAATTGAATATGCATATGATGACTTAAAATTATACTGTCATACATAGATTTTTAGAAATTATGTAATAATAAACATAGAACTACCTAGGCCATAGTGAATAGAATTTTTTCATTCCTTGATGATTCTTACATATTGCTGCAGTGCTTTGACAGTATTGTGAATAACTGATTTTGTAAGGTACTCTAAAGTATCAGGTTATATCAACTTAAGTATAACTATTAAGATTATGAATCATTATAACTATTTAGATTCTGGGGGTGAGGGAAGGATTTTGTTGTATGTACAATAGAAAAATAAACTATTGACAATCTATTATAAGTTATTACTTTTGGACTATAAAGTTCCAAAGTACAAAAACCATGTTCCCCTGTACCTAGCTGTCATTGACACATATTGTGTGCCCAGTATTTGTTGAATGAATGAACAGACAGTTGAATGGATGAATGCCTGTTAATGAGTTTTTTTTGAAAAAAGAAAAGATTATTGAAAGTAGTTTTTCAGTTTTGCCTAATTATAAAGGCTTCTTATTTAAAAAAAAATTTGCAAGATTCAGAAATTATTATCTATAACTATAACAAGAAATGGAATGATAATATGGTTTCATTTGCTGTCCTGTTACTTAAAAGCACTTAAATATTATTGTAACAGCATATTGTGAAAGGCACACTTTGGAACCAGAATTCCTGGGTTTTAATTCTGGCTTTTCTGCTGACCAGCTGTATGGCCTTGGGCAAGTTACTTAGCCTCTCTGTGCCTCAGTGTCTTCTTTTGTAAAATATCTAACATATTACCTATCTCAGAGAATTCTTGTGAGGAATAAGATGAGTTAAGACATGTAAAGTGCCTAGAATAGTGCATAGTAAGTTCTCAAAAAGCTGACTAATGTCATCATTATTAAGTAAAGGTTTCCCTTATGTCACGACTTATAATTTCCAAGTATTTCATGCCAGTAAAAGCTTGTTTTTATTGAAAACGACAACAAGAAAACAACCCAGTTTACCTCTTCCTGTCAAATAATGCAAGTTACATTATGTTTTTCCTTTTGCTTTGACTCAGAAAGCTTGATCTAAATTTACTACAGTCATGTGTCACTTAGCATCTACAATACGTTCTGTGAAATAGGACATTATGTGATTTGGACATTGTGTGAGCACTGTATTACATACAGGCAGTCCCTGGATTACTAATGAGTTCTGTTCCTAAATCTGTCTTTAAGTTGAATTTGTATGTAACTCAGAACAATTAGGTATGTTTGTATCTAATGTCAGTTAGGTGTTTGTCTTAGTATATATTGTACTTTTATATGCATAAAAACATTAAAGAGACTTTCAGATACACTAAAACATCTTTAACATAATAATGTGATACGCATTGCAAAGTAGCGCCCATTTGTTATTACAAACCATTATATATACTTCGAATTTTTAATATAATAGACTTTATGGGGGTTGGGACCATGGATGTATATGCTGTTGGATGTTGCCTGAACGGACGTTATGTGGCACATGACTGTACTTTCTTATGATGATATTAACATATTTTTTGTCCTTTAATATTACTCTTTCTGTTTATAGCTTAATTCCCATTATAGAAAATGATTGTATTTTAAATTACCTGTAAACTTTCTTATGAATAGGAAAAGCAAACTATAAATACAGAAATTTTATATAAAAAACAAGTTTTAGATACTCTTTGTATTTTACATATTAAATATGCCTAAAAGGAATTGTTTGTTTCACAGGCCTGCAAAGAAAACATCTGATGAAGAGAGCAAGGTACTATAAAAAATAAATTATTAAAAATACTATCTGTAGTTAAAAAAAAAATTTATAAAAAGTAATGTGAAAAAAATAGAAAATCTTTTGTTGTAAAATGAGACGTTTAATTTGAAAAAGTGATGTAGAGCCAGTAACCAATTGATAAAAGGTATCTTTTAACAAAAATTAATTATTTTAAGAAGTAAAAGAAGTTTGATTTTACTCATATAAAAAGATGGCTATTTACTACATCTGTAAACTTAGTATAGGTTATATATATTTTGGGGACTTAGTATTATTTATTTTATAGGTCCAAAAGCAAATTAATTCTATGAATGACCTTGATGACTTATCTCAGTCATCTGAAACAGCTTCAGAGGATTGTGCATTGCCTAACTCCAATTATAAGAATTCCATGTTGCTAATTGAACAGCTTGGAATGGATTGTAAAGGTAGGACCATTGTATAAATATAAAGCCTTTTTATATCTACTATAGTAATGTATGAACACCTTGTTTAGCACTGCACCATAGAGCAATAACTGTGTTATAGTGCTGTTCGTCTCAGAAATATGTTTTATATTAAAATAAAATGAGAGCTATTGTACGCTCTCTGCTAAAAAGCTATGATAATTTCCACTGGACTTTACTCAGTGTGAATGGCACTCCAGTCTGTTTGTTGACTTTGCTTCTCTTCTTTGCCTGGAATACTGCAATAACCTCAGAATTGTTTCCCCATCTCCCCGAATCATGGTCTACACTGCGATCATAATTATTAAATATTTTTTAAAATTCAGATCTGAGCATGTTATGCCCTTGCTTAAAAACCCAGCAGTCACTTTTGCTATAAGGTTAAAGACCACAATCCTCTAGTTGCATCATTTCATATCCCTTTTTCTCTCTGTGTCCTAGCCACTTCCTTAGATGTTTGTTCTGCGGTAGAGCTTTTTGTTTTCAACAGCTTTGTTGTTGTTGTTAGGTGCCGTCGAGTCGGTTCCGACTCATAGCGACCCTGTGTACAACAGAATGAAAAACTGTCTGATCCTGCACCATCCTCACAATCATTGTTATGCTTGAGCCAATTGTTGCAGCCACTGTGTCAGTCCATCTCATTGAAGGTCTTCCTCTTTTTCACTGACCCTCTACTTTACCAAGCATGATGTCCTTCTCCAGGGACTGGTCCCTCCTGATAACATGTCCAAGTATGTGAGACAAAGTCTCGCCATTCTTGCTTCTGAGGAACATTCTGGTTGTACTTCTTCCAAGAAAGATTTGTTTGTTCTTCTGGCAGTCCATGGTATGTATATTCAGTATTCTTCACCAACACCATAATTCAGAGGCATCAATTCTTCTTCCCTCTTCCTTATTCATTGTCCGGCTTTCACATGCATATGAGGCAGTTGAAAGCACTGTGGCTTGGATCAGGCGCACCTTAGTCCTCAAAGTGACATCTTTGCTTTTTAACACTTTCAAGAGGTCTTTTGCAGCAGATTTGACCAATGCAATGCATCTTTTGATTTCCTGACTGCTGCTTCCATGGGTGTTAATTGTGTATCTGAGTAAAATGAAATCCTTGACAACCTCAGTATTTTCTCCGTTTATCATGATGTTGCTTATTGGTCTAGTTGGAAGGATTTTTCAACAGCTTTAGTGAGGTATAACTGACATGATAAAACTGCACATTTCTGACAAGAAATCTCATTTCATCCTTATCTTTGTTCGTTAGTGTGTGTCTTAGGCTGAGTTTTCTAGAGAAGCAAAACCAGTAAAGTGTATAAATATATATATAGAGAGAGATTATATCAAGGAAACAGCCCACGTGACTGTAGAGGCTAGTACGTCCCAAGTCCGTGGATCAGGGTAGAGGCCTCTCCCAAGTCACACAGCTGCAGAAGCTGGCAAGCCCAAGATGGGCAGGTCAGAGAGCAGGGCTCCCGCTCACAGGCTGTGCAGATCGACGAATCCCAGGTTCGGCAGATAAGCTGACAGCTCAAGTCCCAAGAACGGGAGATGAGGCGACAGGAAGCAGCCGCAGGATCCAGAGAGAGCAGAAAGCCAGCAGCTCTGCTTATATACAGATGCAGGCCACACCCCCAAGGAGACTCCCTTTCATCTGATTGGCTACTCACAGTATGTTCAATCATGGGAGTGATTACATTAAAACACTGAAAATCATGGCCCAGCCAAGTTGACACACAATCTTAACCATCACAGTATGTAACATGTGTTTCTCCGCCTGCTTTTAAGATTTTATCTTTATTGCTGGTTTTAGTAATTTGATTGTGATGTGCCTTGGTAGTTTCTTCAGTTTTTTGTGCTTGGGTGTGTTGAGCTTCCTGGATCTGTACAATTATAGTTTTCGCTAAGTTTAGAAAATTTTTGGCCATATTTTCTTCAAATATTTTTTTCTATCTCCCTCCCCACCCCATTGGAAAGAGGTATATTAGCCACTTCAAGTGTTCCAACAGTTCAGCGATATCTCAAATTTACCAGTGTTTTCTATTGCAAAGTCTACTCTGTTTTTATTCCCATCCAGTATATTTTTCATCTCCGACATTTTAATTTACATCTCTACTATCTTGACTTTGGCCTTTTAAAAAATATATTTTATGCCTCTACTTAACTTTTTGTACAGATAGAATATAGTTATAATAACTTTTAAGAGCCTTCTCTGCTAGTTCTAACATCCGTGATAGTTCTGGGTAAGTTTCAATTGATTGATTATTCTCCTCCTTATGGGTTGTTTTTTGTGTTTATTTTTTGTTTTCTACCTCTTTGCATGCGTGGTAATCTTTGATTAGGTGCCAGCCATTGTGGATTTTACCTTGTTAGGTGCTGGATATTTTTGTATTCCTATAAATCTTGAGCTTTGCTTTAGAATACAGTTACTCATAAACAGTTTAATCCTTTCAGGTTTTGCTTTTATGCTTTGGTGAGTGAGTCCAGAGCAGTGCTCACCCTAGGGCTAATTATTCCCCAGCACTGAGGCAAGACCTTTCTGAGTATCTACTTAATGTCCTGTGAATTATGAGAGTTTTTCTAGTCTGGCTAGTAGGGATAGACACTATTCCCGGCCCTATGTGAACACCAGGCACCATTTAATCTTTTTAAATGTTTTTGTTTTCCAACCTCAGATAGTTTTTCATGCTCGTGCACTGTTCATAACTCTGCTCAATACCTAAGGGGGCCCCGCTAGGGTTCTCTGTCACTGTTGGTTTCTCCTCTCTAGTGTTCTGACTTATGATCTCTATCAGCCTTGGTTCCACAGATGCTCAGCTTCATAACCTCAACTTAGGAAATCTGCTGGACACCACCTTAGTTCCTTCTCCCTATGTTGTGGCCTGGAAACACTCTCAGAGCAGTGAACTGGGCATTTGTAAGGCTTACTTTGTTTGTTTCCTATCTTTCAGGGATCATTGTCCTTCATTGCCTGAAGTTCATTGTCTTGAAAATCATTGTTTAATGTATTTTGAAGAAGAAAAAATTCAAGCCTCGAGTTGCAGTATTGAAGGATTCTGTGAGGAAAATATTAAACGATGCAGGAAGCATCAAAAGAAGATGGAAGGAATGCACAGTCACTGTACCAAAAAGAAGTGGTTGATGTTCAGCCATTTCAGGAGGTAGCATATGATCAGGAACTGATAGTACTGTAGGAAGAGATCCAAGGTGCACTGAAGGCAGTGGCAAAAAACAGGGCTTCAGGAATTGATGGAATACCAATTGAGATGTTTCAACAAATTGATGCAGCGCTGGAAGTGCTCACTCGTCTATGCCAAGAAATCTGGAAGACAGGTATCTGGCCAACCAACTGGAAGAGATCCATATTTGTGCCCATTCCAAAGAAAGGTGATCCAACTGAATGTGGAAATCATCGAACAATATCATTAATATCACACAGAAGTAAAATTCTGCTGAAGATCTTTCAGAAACGGCTGTAGCAGTGCATCGACAGGGAACTGCTGGAAATTCAAGCCAAATTCAGAAGAGGATGTGGAACGAGGGATATCATTGCTGATGTCAAATGGATCCTGGCTGAAAGCAGAGAATACCAGAAAAATGTTTACCTGTGTTTTATTGACTATGCAAAGGCATTCAATTGTGTGAATCGTAACAAATTATGGATAACATTGTGAAGAATGGGAATTCAGAACACTTAATTATGTTCATCAGGAACCTGTACCTGGATCAAGAAGCAGTCGTTTGAGCAGAGCAAGGGGATACTGTGCGGTTTAAAGTTAGGAAAGGTGTGCATCAGGGTTGTATCCTTTCACGATACTTATTCAGTCTGTATGCTGAGCAAATAATCCGAGAATCTGGACTATATAAAGAAGAACGAGTCATCAGGATTAGAGGAAGACTGATTAACACCCTGCAGTATGCAGATGACACAGCCTTGCTTGCTGAAAGTGAAGAGGACTTGAAGCACTTACTGATGAAGATCAAAGACCACAGCCTTCAGAATGGATTACACCTCAACATAAAGAAAACAAAAATCCTCACAACTGGACCAGTAAGCAACATCATGATAAACAGAGAAAAGATTGAAGTTGTCAAGGTTTTCATTTTGCTTGGATCCACAATCAACACCCATGGAAGCAGCAGTCAAGCAATTAAACGATGCATTGCGTTGGATAAATCTGCTGCAAAAGACCTCTTCAAAGTGTTAGAAAGCAAAGATGTCACCTTGAAGGCTAAGGTGTACCTGACCCAAGCCATGGTGTTTTCAGTCGCCTCATGCATGCAAAAGCTGACGATGAATAAGGGAGACCGAAGAAGAACTGATGCCTTTGAATTGTGGTGCTGGCGAAGAGTATTGAATATACCATGGACTGCCAAAAGAATGAACAAATCTGTCTTGGAAGAAGTACAACCAGAATACTCCTTAGAAGCGGATGGTGCGATTACGTCTCAAATATTTTGGACGTGTTATCAGGAGGGATCACTCCCTGAAGAAGGACATCATGCTTGGTAAAGTAGAGGGTCATTGAAAAAGAGGAAAACCCTCAAGGAGATGGACTGACACAGTGACTGCAGCAATGGGCTCAAGCATAATGATTGTGGGGCTGGCAGGGCAGTGTTCATTCTGTTGTACATAGGGTCGCTGTTAGTCGGAACCAACTCGATGGCACCTAACAACAGCAATGTATTTTGTTCTTTATTTATGATCGTTTCAGGTAGGAAGATAAATCAGTACCTGTTCCTACATCTTGGCTGGAAGTGGATTGCAATAGAGCTTCAGGACATGGCTGTGTAGACTGTCTAGAATGTTCTTTTCCCCTTTGATTATCTGCCTCCTGCTCATCCTCCAGGTCTCAGTGAAGTCACCTCTTGCTCAAGGAGATCTTCCCTGGGCTGATTCTAAATCAAGTCTTCTTATGTGATCACAGAACTCTTGTTTTCTAAGAGTATCTGAATCGATAGTTATCATTTTATTTGTCCTTCTCCTGTAGTAGATTTTGAGCTGAACAAGAGCAGGTATCTCGTCTGTTTTACCTGCAGAGCCTAGTATAATGTCTTCCACATTGTAGACACTCACTATGTGACTGTTCAGTGTATGAATGAGTGAATGTGAAAATGCATGGTTCTTTGTACATAAAAAGTACTCATATATACATCTTTATCTTCATTTTCTCCCTGATACAGATTCTGTTAGTCTATTGAAAATCCAGGATGCAATTCTTTCGTACGAAAGATTAGTAGAACTTAAAAAAAATCACTGTGAACTACTTACAGGAAAAATTAAAAAAATGGAAAATAAGGTTAGTGGACTACAAAAGGAGCTATCAGAAACAAAAGAAATAAAATCACAGTTAGAGCATCAGAAAGTGGAATGGGAACGAGAAATCTGCGGTTTGAGGTATAAAATCTTGGTTTTACAGAAATGTTTGAATTATTTTATACTATAGATACATAGCAGAATTTTTGTAATTGCTAACTTACCTTCTGGAGTTTTACAGGGGAGAAAAATTCTTAGTCCTGTGGTGTATGAAGTTCTTGGAAATAATACAGCAAGTCGTTAATATTGAATACTTCTACTAATAATTAAATACGTATTCTTCCAAATCATGATTTCTTTTTCCAAATCATAGTTTTAATGGCCATATAGAAGCTCACCAGATGTAAATCTCATTATTTATTTAACATTGAATTTTGGGTTTTTATTTTTCTCTACTATAATTAGTCATGTTAGGAACATCTTTTATGTAAATCTTTTTCTACATTTCTGATTATTTACTTCGAATAAATTCTTCAATACAAAATTATTTGGTTAAAGTATAGGAACTTTTTGAAAAGTTCTTTCATCTATACTTCTAAATTGTTTTTGAGAAAGTTTGTTAATTTTCAGTTCTTCCAGCAGAGTACAAAATGGCTATTTTCCTCAACCCAGAATCATGTTTTAAAAATGTATGCAGTTTTCTTCTTAACATATGCATAGAAGGAAAGGTAAAATGGAAAATGATTACTGATTAGTTTATTCAACATCTGTCTCATACATAAACTAAACCCTTTGCCGCTGAGTCGATTCCGACTCTTAGTGACCCTGTAGGACAGAGTAGAACTGCCCTGTAGGGATCTCTCATACATAGGTAAAGTTAATTCAAAGTTCTATGTTGAAAACACATATTAATCTTATTGTTTAATTAACTAATATGGATCCTGTCTGGTTCCAAAGGGGATTTAGAGATGATTAATAAAATAGATACTAATCAGTAAGATAGGATAAGTTGGAAGTGTTATGAAAGAAGAAATATAAAAACTGTAGGTAACAGATATTAGACCGCCTAGCCTAGTGTTGGATGATATTATCATATGCAGATATACGTTTTGTAAAAGGCACCTACGGGTGCTGTCTTAAACGTTGTAAATCATCTTTAGGGATACCTATTATATTTCATCTTCGTGAAATCAAATTTTTGTTTCTAGTGAATTTATAAATTTTAAACGCCAACTTCTCTTGTTAACTAATTAACTCAGATTATCTGTCCTGCTGGAGGAGTAATAATACCTGTGTGGGAAAAAAAGATAATTTTCAACGCTAACTTTACTGAATAATTTCAAAATTCCTTTCCCATAACATTTACCAGAGTTACTGGTAACAAAACTTACCAGTTAACAGCATGTCCTTTTGCTGCAACCTTTTAAGTGTATGTACCTTTGGAAGAGATTGAAAAGAGAAATTAAAAATAGGAGAACTGGGAAGGAAAAAAATTCAGAAACAGAAATTTCATAAACTGGATAATAAACCAGTATATAAACAGCCAGAGCACAAAATGAATGTTTTATTTTCTAACAAAATAATTTTAAGATAAGCATGTCTAAATGCAGATTTACCTTAAAACAAGAAGAAGAGAAGAGAAGAAATGCTGATATGTTGTATGAAAAAATTCGGGAACAATTAAGAAGAAAAGAAGAGCAATATAGTAAAGAAGTTGGAATGAAACAACAACTCGAACTCACTCTTAGGACGCTAGATATGGAATTGAGGACTGTAAGAAATAATTTGAATCAGGTGAACTAATCTTTGGTAAAAATTTCTTATTTCTAACTTTATTTCATCAGTATTCTTTATGATGGACTTTTGAGTTAATGTATTTTGTTTAGGTTTTAGATAAATCAAAAATGTCTTTTCATCCTCAATATGAACATATATAGCTAAAACCATTAATTTATTGCAATTCTTGGCATGGAGTTAGTGCTCAGTATATGTTTTCTGAATGAAGGAATTGAAGGTAAATTGAGTGTAATCATTAACATAAATGTTAATTTTGGCATTTTTATGTTAAAATACAGGTTAAATAGCGATGAAAGCTATTATAAAACTAGTTAAATGTTTTATAAGGGAATTTCTTTCATAATACTACATCTGCCTTTACTTAAGAACTGTTTTCAGCTCTGACAAATTTAGCTGTCATTTATGCATTAAAATTTGAATACTTCATGTGATATAAATATCCTTGTGATTTAATAGGCTCATCCTTTTCCTTTTAATAGATTTTTTTTTAAGGCTCTCCTCTTAATTAAGCTTTTAGGCTTTTTTTTTTTTTTTTTTTAATGGCATGACACCAAAATTTAATGAAACGTGTGTATCTCTAGGTTGTAGAAGAAAGAAATGATACCCAGAGGCAACTTTCTCGAGAACAGAATGCCAGAATGTTACAAGATGGAATTCTGACCAGTCACCTTAGCAAACGGAAGGAGATAGAAATGGCTCAGAAGAAAATGATGCAGAATTCTGAGGTATTCTCTTATCTTCAAATATATGTCTGTATTTTTCTGTGTATATATTTAAAGAATCAACTAGTGGAGCCCTGGTGGCGAAGTGGTTAAGAGCTCAGGCAGCTAGCCAAAAGGTCGGCAGTTTGAATCCACCAGCTGCTCCTTGGAAACCCTATGGGGCAGTTCTTCTCTGTCCTGTAGGGTTGCTATGAGTCAGAATTAACTCAGCAGCACACAACAACAACATATATGCATCATGGAAGGTATAGAGGTTTTTAAGTCATAGATATGTATATATATATTTTGGTAGGGGTGGGGCATTTTTGGCCCATTGGATGAAGTAACATTCTTAGTTCAAATCTATCTGCCACAGTCAAGTAGTGACATTCACAGTGGCTTCATCCAGTGGGAGAGGCTTTTAATATTTTCCGTAGGAATTGACAGTCCTTCCACAATCTCAAAACTGTGGCTACTAATAACAAATGTTCTACTTTTTGGCAGTGACTTCGTTCCACTGATGTATTAATGGAGAGATTAGTTTATCAATTCCACCCATAGGTAAGGAGAGGAAAAGTATAGCCAGTTCAAAATGGACGTCATTCTCCTCACTCTGGAGAAAAGTGACAGTTAGCTCCAAGTGGTATCCTGTTTCAATCAAGGAGCTTTTGAAAACAATGATTTGCCATAACATATCGTGATAATTTACTGATATTTTATTACTAGTAAAAGAATTCAGTGTATTTTCATTATTGTTTCAAGCATTATAAAAATGAAACAAAAGTTATTGCAGCGGCAAATAATCTCATGATTTTCTAAGAAGAAGTCTATAAATTTTACCTTATTTAGTCTTTTAAAATGTGGTGTTTCTTTTGTATTTGTATATTTGCTGTAGAAGAGTAACTGGTTTAGTGGAAGAACACTAGCAATAAGGTCAGAAGACCTGCAGAAAATCCCGCAGTATGCTTATATTTTTGAACCTCTACAGAGTTGTGGTAATTAAATGACTTAATTGATGTATGTGTGAGTGGCTAATACAGTGCCTAGTTTTATCAATTATCAATAAATGTAATTCTTATAACTGATGGTAAAAGTATTTGAAAAGTAGAATATCTATTGAATATTCTCAGGAAAAAGAAACTTAACATAGGAAATTCAAATCTGTCTAAAATATGCAGATATAAGCCTCTTAATGTAGCTGTATAGATTAGATACCAAACCATACACCCATTTGAAATTAATTTAGATTAGGAAGAATTATTTTGGGAAATTCAGACAGATTGCTTAAAATTATAGGATTTGTAAAATGTATTTTGTATTTTAATGATTGCATGTGTGTTTGAGAGGGGAATATATTTAATATTTTTAAATCTAAACAAATATATGCAGAGTGAAGACTCTTAATATAGGGTAGCTGTGTAACTTAGCTTCAAACTGATTTTTTAATATAGTCAAGTGTATTAATCATTTATATCCCCTGGGTTTGTTGTTATCCAGAGAAAGATCTTTCTAAGTCTGAGATTCTTCTAAAAAATTATCTTGTGGCTTCTTTTTTACTTTCTTGGATTCTTTTTTTTTTTTCCCAATTAAATTTTTGAACCTTTGGGAATTTATGCTTGTGTAAGGTGTGAGGTGTGGGTCCAACTTTCCAGTTGACTATCTACTTATTATACCCTTTTTATTATATATACATTTAGTTTAGTCTTTATTTTCAAAGGAAATTATGATATGCCATTTTATTGAGTACCAACTAAAAATCTCCTTTGTTTTACTTAGGTTTCTAATAGTCATGAAAAAGAAAAAGATCTATTGCATAAACACCACATGTTGCAGGATGAAATTGCCATGTTAACACTGGAAATAGATGCATTAAAAAATCAGAACCAAGAAAAAGAAAAGAAATATTCTGAGGACATTGAAATTCTAAAAGAGAAAAATGATGATCTTCAAAAGACATTAAAACAAAATGAGGAAACATTAACAAAAACAATATTTCAGTATAGTGGACAGCTTAATGTTCTGACAGCTGAGAATGCAGTGCTGAACTCTAAACTGGAGAATGAAAAACAAAACAAGGAAAGACTGGAAACCGAGGTGGAATCATATCGTTCTAGATTGGCTGCTGCTATACATGATCACGATCAAAGTCAGACATCCAAAAGAGACTTAGAACTTGCTTTCCAGAGAGCAAGAGATGAGTGGTTTCGTTTACAGGACAAAATGAATTTTGATTTGTCTAACCTAAAAGATAGCAATGAGACTCTTTCCCAACAACTTTCTAAAACTGAAAGTAAATTCAACAGCCTAGAAATTGAGCTCCATCACACAAAAGATGCCCTCAGAGAAAAGACTTTGGTTTTAGAACGTGTACAAAGAGACCTAAGCCAAACACAGTGTCAGATGAAGGAAATTGAACACATGTATCAAAATGAACAAGGTAAAGTCAGTAAATATATTGGAAAACAGGAGTCCGTAGAGGAAAGATTATCCCAACTGCAAAGTGAAAACATGTTGCTTCGACAGCAACTGGATGATGCTCACAGCAAAGCTGACAATAAAGAAAAGACAGTAATTAATATCCAAGACCAATTTCATGATATTGTAAAAAAACTTCAAGCGGAAAGTGAAAAACAAAATCTTATGCTTGAAGAGAGAAACAAGGAGTTAATCAATGAGTGTAATCATGTCAAAGAGCGGATGTATCAGTATGAAAATGAGAAAGCAGAAAGAGAAGTAAGTATTGAGAAAGACAAATGTTTTTCAAACTTCCTGAAGGAAAATTCAGAATAATGCTTGATTATGGCTAAATGTTGAATCTAATTGATTATGAAAATTATAATAGACTGTAAATGTATTTTCTATATCAGCTTAGAAACTTTGTATCCAGGAAATAAAAATTAGACTTGAGAGGTGCTTTATTTTGAGTAAAGACATTTGGTCACCTATGAAATTCTAAGAGATTAAGTTATAAATTGTTAACAGGTAGAGACTGCTATTAATCATTTAGTCTTTTACTGCTGAAATGAAATGTTTAATGTATTTTATATCACAACACTTTAAGGCTGTGATGAGGCAGATGAACAGAAATGTTCATACCTAAAGTGAGTATTTTGAAACTAGGATTTAATTAAGTGGATTACCTTTGTTGACAGTCAGTTCCAGATTTCCCAGATGAGCTGGATTTTAGCTGCTGTCTCCTGTAATAGTTTTCCTTCAATAGCTTTTTATGCATTCTTTTTTTTTTTTATTGTAGTTTAAATGAAATTTACATTTCAAGTTAGTCTCCCATACAAAAATGTATACATACGTTATGTGACCCTAATTGCTTTCCCCATACTGTGGCAGCACACTCCTCCTTTCCACCCCTGATTCCCCATGTCCATTCAACCAGCTTGTAACCCTCTCTGCCTTCCCATCTCACCTCCGGACAGAAACTGCCTGTTTAGTCTCTTGTATCTACTTGAGCTAAGAGGCACACTCCTCACGAGTATCACTTCATGTCCCACAGCCCGGTCCAATCCCTGTCTGAAGAGTTGGCCTCAGAAATTGTTTTAGTTCTGGGCTGATAGAGAATCCAGGGACCATGCTTTCCGGCGTTCCTCCAGTGTCAGTCAGACCATTAAGTCTGGTCTTCTTACTAGAATTTGAGTTCTGCACCCCACCTTTCTCCTGCTCCATCCAGGACTCTGTTGTGTTCCCTGTCAGGGTGGTCATTGGAGGTAGCCAGGCACCATCTAGTTCGTCTGGTCTTAGGCTGATGAAGTCCCTGGTTTATGTGGCCCTTTCTGTCTCTTGGGCTACTACTTTCCGTGTGTCTTTGGTGTTCTTCATTCTCCTTTACTCCAGGTGGTTGGGACCAATTGATGCATCTTAGATGGCCGCTTGCAAGCTTTTAAGACCCCAGATGCCACTCACCAAAGTAGGATGCAGAACATTTTCTTAATAAGCCTTCTTATGCCAGTTGAGCTAGATATTCCCTGAAAGCATGGTCCCCAAACCATTACCCCTGCTACTCTGTCCCTCAAAGTGCTTGATTGTATTCAGGAAACTTCTTAGCTTTGGTTTAGTCCAGTTGTGCTCACTTCCCCTGTAGTGTTGTGCTGTCCTTCCCTTCACCTGAGATAATTCTTATCTACTATCTAGTTAGTAAATAACCCTCACCCTCCCTCCCTGCCCTCGTAACCATCAAAGAATGTTTTCTTCTGTGTTTAAACCTTTTCTTGGGTTCTTATATTAGTGGTCTTATACAATATTTGTCCTTCTGTGACTGACTACATTCACTCAACATAATGCCCTCCAGATTTCTCCATGTTATAAAATGTTTCATGGCTACATTGTTGTTCTTTTTTGTTGTGTAGTACTCCACTGTGTGGATATACCATAATTTGTTTATCCGTTCTTCTGTTGATGGAAAGTATAACAAATACTTACGCACCCAATGAGAGAGCCCCAAAATGCATAAAACAAACTCTAACAGCACTGAAAAGAGAGATAGACAGCTCCACAATAGTAGTAGGAGGCTTCAACACACCATTTTCGGTGAAGGACAGAACATCCAGAAAGAAGCTCAACAAAGACACGGAAGAGCTCCTACAACCAACCAACTTCCATCTTTTTGCTATTGTGAACAGTGCTGCAATGAACATGGGTGTGCATATATGTATTTGTGTGACGGCTCTTATTTCTCTAGGATATATTCCAAGGAGTGGGATAGCTGGATTGTATGGTACTTCTATTTCTAGCTTTTTAAGAAAGTGCCAAATCGATTTCCAAAGTGGTTATACCATTTTACATTCCCACCAACAGTGTATAAGTGTGGCAGACTCTACAACCTCTACAACATTTATTACTTTGTGGTTTTTGGATTATTGCTAGCCTTGTTGGGGTGAGATGATATCTCATTGTAGTTTTGATCTGCATTTCTCTAATGGCTAATGATCGTGAACATTTCTTCATGTGTCTGTTAGCCACCTGAATGTGTTCTTTGGTGAAGTGCCTGTTCATGTCCTTTGCCCATTTTTTAATTGAGTTATTTGTCTTTTTGTTGTTGAGGTTTTGCAGTATCTTGTAGATTTTAGAGATTAGACGCTGATTGGATCTGTCATAGCCAAAAATTTTTTCCCAGTCTGTAGGTTCTCTTTTTACTCTTTTGGTGAAGTCTTTTGATGAGCATAACTGTTTGATTTTTAGGAGGTCCCAGCTATCTAGTCTCTCTTCTGGTGCTTGTGCATTGTTACTTATGGTTCGTATCGTGTTTATGCCATGTATTAGGGCTCCTAGCGTTGTCCCTATCTTTTCTTCCATGATCTTTATCGTTTTTGATTTTATATTTAAGTCTTTGATCCATTTTGAGTTAGTTTTTATGCATGGTGTGAGGTATGCATCTTGTTTCAGTTTTTTGCACCTGGATGTCCAGTTATGCCAGCACCATATGTTAAAGAGACTGTCTTTACTCCAATTAGTGGACTTCGGGCCCTTGTCAAATATCAGCTGCTCGTAGGTGGATGAATTTATGTCTGGATTCTCAATTCTGTTCCATTGGTCTATGTATCTGTTTTACCAGTACGAGGCTGTTTTGACTACCATGGCAGTATAATAGGTTCTAAAATCAGGTAGTGTGAGGCCTCCCGCTGTCTTCTTCTTGAGTAATGCTTTACTTATTTGGAGCCTCTTCGCTTTCCATATGAAGTTGGTAATTTGTTTCTCCATCTCATTAAAAAATGCCAGTGGAATTTGGATCGGGATTGCATTGTATCTGTAGATCGCTTTGGGTAGAATTGACATTTTCACTATATTGAGTCTGTCTATCCACGTCCAAGCTATGTTTTTCCACTTATGCAGGTCTTTTTTGGTTTCTTGCAGCAGTGTCTTGTAGTTTTCATTCTAGAGATCTTTTATGTCTCTGGTTAGATTTATTCCTGAGTATTTTATCTTCTTGGGGGCTATTGTAAATGGTATTGATTTAGTGATTTCCTCTTCGAGGTTCTCTTTGTTGGGGTAAAGGAATCCAACTGATTTTTGTATTTTTATATTGTATCATGAAATGTTGCTGAAATCTTCTATTAGTTCCAGTAGTTTTCTTGTGGGTTCTTTGGGATTTTCTGTGTATAAGATCATATCATCTGCAAATAGAGATACTTTGACTTCTTCCCTACAGATTTGGATGCGCTTTATTTCTTTTTCTAGCCTAATTGCTCTGGCTAGGACCTCCAGCACAATGTAGAATAAGAGTGGTGATAATGGGCATCCTTGTCTGGTTCCCATTCTCAAGGGGGATGCTTTCAAAGTCTCTCCATTTAGGATGATGTTGTCTTTGTATAAATAGCCTTGATTATATTGAGGAATTTCCCTTCTCTTCCTATTTTGTTGAAAGTTTTTATCATGCATGGGTGTTGGACTTTGTCAAATGCCTTTTCTGCATCATTTGATAAGATCATGTGGTTCTTGTCTTTCGTTTTATTTATGTGATGGATTACATTGATTGTTTCTCTAATGTTGAACCATTCCTGCATACTTGGTATAAATCCCACTTGATCATGAAGAATTATTTTTTTGATATGTGGCTGAATTCTGTTGGCTAGAATTTTGTTGACAGTTTTTCTGTCAATGTTCATGAGGGATAATGGTCCGTAATTTTCTTTTCTTGTGGTATCTTTCCCTGGTTTTGGTATCAGGGTTATGCTGGCTTCAAAGAATGACTTCGGGGGTATTCCATCCTTTTCTATGCTCTGAAATACCTTCAGTAGTAGTAGTGGTGTTAACTCTTCTCTGAAAGTTTGGTAGAATTCTCCAGTGAAGCCATGTGGGCCAGGGCTTTTTGTTGTTGTTGTTGGGAGTTTCTTAATTACCTTTCGAATCTCCTCGTTTGTTAGGGGTTCATTTAGTTGTTCTGTCTCTGTGTTAGTTTAGGTAGGTAGTGAGTTTCTAGAAATTTGTCCATTTCCTCTAGGTTTTCAAATTTGTTAGAGTACAGTTTTTTA